CATACAAGGGGTAGGTGAGAACATCTAAACCACATCGAAAAAGAGAAATGAAGCTAAGATTATAGGGGGCATGCAAAAGAAGGAAAAGGATAGAGCTTGGTGTCAATGTTCTCATTGAACTCAACCAAAGTGGAGTAGGTTTTTCAGCTTTCATCTTCACATAACTAAGCACAACAAAAGCGCCTTGAGCTTCATCGTCTTGTTGTCACCTAATAACACTCCCAAAAATAGGGGACATGTGTCGTATGGGAACGTGGTGATCCAAGATGGGTCACAAGCTCGCTAACCTTCCTTCCCATGAAGGTATCACACCTTTCCATGAATTGATCAAGCATTTAGATCAATTTCTGGCCTCATCACGGTAGCATCGGAAGACAGAACACACAAGAAGGAGTACAACCACAACTAGCTGCCACCAAGCTCAAACAGACCAGACCAACCAAGGATCAGCATTTCCAAGACAACGCCCCAAAGAATATAGCGACATGTTAAAAGGCATCGTTATTTTCCAGTCCAAAAGTTGACCAGAGGCTTTTGCCCAGAGCACACTAGGGGGAGGGGGCTATGTGTGAAGCTCCATGATGACTCTTCCATGAAGGGAAACGACATCGGTGCCAGCATAGCCGACACAGGTATTTCACCCACGTGCTCACACAATTACCCGACCTAACCATGCCAGCCTCTAGGGGCCTCGACCAGTTGGTTCCACGAACAAGCAAAACTACGGCGGCTACGTCGGGCCACACGCCCACCGGACCTAGATCGCGGCCTTCCTAAGTCAGGGTGTCCCAGCCTGGCAAGCTACTTGACCAAAGCTGGATAATCCCGTCTATATCGGGACGGGCCAGACATGCCCTACTTCGAGCCAACTGGGCAACGAGCATCACCAAGGGATGTCGCCCCTCGCAGTTAGCCAGAGATGACGGGTGACTCCCATTGTATGCGGAATCTATAGCCCAAGACACCACACCCTAGGATGCAAGGACAACAGAGAGCTCCGCCACCTTTGGTCACGGGCCCATCACCGCTGTGACTGAGGCAGACGGTGACAGAAAGAAGATAGTGGATAGGAGGGTTCGAGTAGTAGTGGTGGGGGAGTCTCCCGGGTCTCCATAGGTGAGGCGGCATGGGAGTTGGGAAAGAGGTCCATGGAGGAATCCGCCCAATGTTCCCCGTAAGCTAAAACAATTCATTTCCACCTTGCGGAAATAGAATGCTTAAAAAAGCATGCACCTCGTGGCGCGCCCCAAGTGCCTAGGCTCCATGCAAGTGGGTAACATGAGATGAGTGTCATGGAGTTAAGTCATGCCCCATCCTCATCTTAGATCCAAACCACTATCTACATGGCCACCCCAACGAACTTGTTCCTCGCTTAACCCGCAACGAGCGTGCTCCTGACAACGCAGCTCACACGATCATATTGTTGAACACCCTGCATGTGTTGCTAGGCCAGTGGCATGTGGCGTACATGTTGGCCAGAGCCGTCACCCCGTTCTGCGCAAGCTGCACACAGTTTGAAGAGTGAGGTGAATGGGGGATGGGTACTCGGTAGGTCGAAGTGCGTGATCGTGGACCTCAAGGGCGCATGGTTGTCGGACGTGCCCTGCTTACTGTCGGGAGAAGACGACAATGTGGCGGAGCACACCATTTTTTTCTTTTCTCTGGTTATAGGGTTACAACTTTTCCTTTCCTGATAAACCAAAAAAACTTGCATCTAGATGCATTCATAGATAGAGAAAAGTGTTTTGTACAAACCTCCACAACGGACCAACACCCCAAAATACAACACTATGCATTGGAGAAGTACTCACCTGGAGAAGTGCGGCAAGGCTTGATCGTGTCGAGAAAGATGTCTACCAAGTTGTGAACAAGATGACAGAGGAGATGCCCTTGTACAGTGCAAGATGGGGGCGAATGGGATGTTTCACTACCACCAGTCTACAATCGCATCACAACCTCTAAAGTCATGCACACGAAACTCCAAGGTACACTGCACATATCTCCACTGGTTTCCCCGTGCCAAGCTACATTTGGTGCCAGACATGAACTTGACCTTTTTTACTGGAGAGCTAAGAATGGCGTGGCATTGAAGCCTACCTTGTTCGAGGAAGCTTTTCAGATTTGATCCAAACTGTTTCATTCCTAGTGTCTCCTATTCTCAAGCCAAGCTAGCCTCTCATTTTTGTAGTTCTTTCTTTCAGCATTGTTGCTATTATAGGTTGTAGGAGAAAGTTCTGTTAGGTGGTGAAACTCATGTACTATGAAGAGAACCATTCACAGTAACGGTTGCATATACAAATAAGTTGCAAGACGTGTAGGGTGCAGTTGGTGAAACTATTTATCACCGGCTGATTTTAAGAGATATTTACTTGCAATGCTTTATATATGGAGGGAAAGGGACACTAAGGGTGGAGACACACATGGGCTAGAACCCCCACAAACGCACACACCACCATCGATCAGCTCCTCTGAATTTCTCACGGGCCATAGCAGTAGTATTATGTACTAACATACTACTACTTCCGTTCCATAATGTAAGACGTTTTTTGCCACTATTATAGTGTCAAAAAACGTCTTACATTATGGGACAAAGGGAATATATGCTAATGGCCGTACATAATGGCTACTACTTAATTAGAAATTGAGCCTAAAGTTAATACTAATATGTTTAAATAAACGAAGCGCAGGTAATAGCCCATTTGCCCACTTTGACCATTGCCGGAACTATGAAGCCTACAAGATCTTTCAGTGAACCGGTGTGAGTCTAATCTTCAAGATCGATCTGCCAATTTTGCTAGGGCTCCCGCCACCACAGGTTGCCTTCTTGCTCCTGCAGTCCAGCCGTCGGGTGCTAAGAGACTCGACGCGTTTGGTTCCTGCTACCGTAACGTAATGGGCTACGCTATGGGGAAGCGCTGCTTCCAATTTTTCTATATGGAATACTGGCTTTGTTTGGTTGGCGTCCGGTTTCCTAATCACCTTCCACTGGGCTGGTTTCGGCTTTGCGAAGCTGCGTATCAGAAACCGCTGCTGCCGGAAACGTAGTACGCGAACCAAACGTAATCTACCCCTGCAAAAAAAAAGAAAGAACCAAACGTAATCTACGGTTTAAGAAAGCGTGGGGATCGGAAACCACGCCACTTTCGCCGAACCAAACGCGTTGAACGTGTGTGACAAGGTAGATCACATGCTGAGACAGGTTTCTTCCGCTAACCCATTGTGGTTGGCGCTCTGTTAATCTTCCCATGAAGCCATGCCATGGAGTCCATCGAGTATTTGTGCATGATGTAGGACTCAATTTCAAAGGTACGCAGGTATACACTACCTCTACTGCTAGCTGGTATAGTGGTACATTCTATTTATTTATTTTTACTTTTTTGTGGGAAGTATAGTGGTACATTTTAAAGCACATGCGACACTTCTAAGCAAACCCATTCGTAGTTTTCTATTTTTAGGACTGCTAATGTGGCAAGGCAGCCCTAAAATAAGCATCTTCGCGTTCATTTTCAAGGAAAAATTTGCAACAAGGAAGAAACACGTGAGAGATCTTTTCAACATAAATACTAGTATCACTGTTGCCGCCTACCTGACTTCACATGATTCGTTGATGGTTTTGTGAGAGTAGAAAAGAATGTCTCACTAGAGCAGCACGCGTTGGAGTACAACTTAATTGGTCTACAGAAGTGTCCCATTCCTGTTGTCTCCCATAATAGCACAAAAGGGGTACCTCGTAACGACAAAACACCAGTATACTCTTTGAGCCAACATTGAACTTGTCACCAAAAAGACCATCATTCCCGGGATCAGACTAACTCTACAACAAATATGATGATCCTGGAGGCTCAAATTTTCCACAAGTCTCTGGACATTGGTAACTAGATCGACACCAATTCCGATGGAGTTGAACTACACCTTTTTTTAGCAACGAGTTGAACTACACTTATCCTTATTGTGTTTGCTATCTTGTCGAGGTGACGATGCTTCAACAACCTAGCCATAAACACTTAGGGACTATGAACATGCCAAAATATGTGATGCTTTTAGAACTTGAGAATGTTGTATGCTGCAAATATGAAACGTGTGCAAGGGGTATGCTATTGAATTGAGTGGAGTTCATGTCAAAATTTTGAATCTACATCTGATCGAGACAAACGATTTATTTACTTGCATGTGAGTCGGTGGCATTTATGAGATGTATGCACATCACACTAGTCCGTTTAGTGCAAGACAATGTGATGTCATGGAAATGTCCAACTCTACAAAACGTGTTTGGTTCACATTTATTTGGCATTTTTTCTCCACCATGTCTAAAAACCAGCATTCCCATGACGCTAATGTTTCATGGTCTACCTCTGACTCGGTATCGTTCTGGTTTGCCTCGGAGAGCTCTTAAAAGTAGAAACACCCTTTCCCTGATGATAATCAGTGACGGGTACAAAATTAAGTTTGGAACCATCGAAGTTTACGTTGATAAAACTTGATCTCGCTGCAAAGTTTGCGTTGGAACCATCTTAAAACTCATTCCTGCTGCGAAGTTTGTGTTGATGACATGAAAGTAACGGTTCATCGTTATTGTTTAATCATAGTCGAGTTGGTTACATAGTCTCGTGATTATGATTTTGCCCCTAAAATGGAAGTGCTACTTAATAGCCGGCGATGGTACTTGTAGAACTTCGGCTGGAGCACCAAACTTTCTTCTTTTTCAGATTAGAACCAAACAGTATTAATAATGACAGATGGATGGCTCATATTCATCCTGGCCGATCTTAATAAAATTTGAAATATATCTGAAATCAGAAGTTAGAAAAGGCCGACTGTACTCTTAAAACAGACACGTATTTATAAACAGGGGTAGTATTACACATTATGTGAGGTTAATATTGTTAACTCACAAAGTCATTCACCAGACAATCAAAATGTCGAGAGGAATCAATAATATAAGAACCTAAAAATAAATAAGTAGAATGCACGAGCAACAGCTTTGCCAGTAATTCCAGGCATCAGTTCCCTCTGTTTTTGAACGACGAGAACGAGAAGAACGATCGGGGTACTGCAACGACAAAGTAAAACAGAGCATAAGTGAAACGGCGAAAGAAACAAGCCGTGGCTATGGCGATGGTATGATGTGTGCCAAGTTTGTATCAGCGGAACCTCTTGGAGATTTTGCAGGCAGGGCCATCTCCTTGAGCTGAGACCTTGCAGGAGACAGCGGCACGAAGCTCTGCAGGGACCGAACTGCATGCGCACGCCGCGTCTTGGTGATCAGAAAAATGGCGAACACGTCGGAGGTAGACAATATGCAGATAGCGCCCAGGAATTACCGTGGGGAGAGACGACATGGCTGCTGTCAAGATCGTCGGAGGCAGCATCCGACCAGCACGCTCTCGGCTTGTTGATCGGATCACCTTGCGCCGGTCCTTGGCTCGCGGGGCCGTCAGCTGCTGGAGGCGCCCCGCGCTCGATGACGACGGCGGCGGCGGCGGCGGGACCGTCAGGGCCGTTGCAGTTCTTCTTGCCAAAGGTGAGGAACCTCTTGAGCCCAGCCACGGCGTCCATCGGCGACTGTGGCATCCCGGCGACGGGGACGGCTCCGCTCCTCGAGGCGCAGCAGGTGCTCGGCAGGAACACTATGCTCTGATGCTCGGCCTCCTCCACCACATCCGCCTCCTCCCGTTTCATCCTCAGCATCGCCGCGTCTGCCTCCAGCAGCTCCTCGGTGGACAGAGCTCCGCCGGAAGGCGGCGGGGTGCGGAGCGGAGAGCCGGCGGCTGAGGCGTCCAGCTCCGATCCATGGGAGAACGACGACTGCACGTTCGAATACAGCGACCCGGAGCTCTCCTTGACGCTCGTGCCAGTCGCGTCAGATGCTGCTGCCATTGTCTCTGATGATGGCGATGATGCCATGGTCTCCGATGATGGTGATGATGCCATGGTGTCCTCGAAGACCTCAGCGGCTTCCTCGTCCCCAACCTGTTCGTGGTCTCTCTTGACGTACACGTAACTCGGCTCGGTGTCGGAGTCACCGGTGATCTCCGCGTCGCCAAGCTTGTCACCAGATCGTGCGACCTCGCCGTCGCCATTGCCATCCGCCTTCTTGTTGGAGTTCTTCGCTTTGGCGTCTGAGTGTTCGGAGCTTTGAACATCGTTGCGGTCGCTGTTTCCTAGCCTGGTCAAGAAATCGACCTGTCCGCGGCCAAGAGCCACCGACGGCGACGACGCGCGCGCGACGCCGTTGCCCGATCTCCTGGTGCGGTGAGGCCCGGGAGAAACGGCGGCCGCCGTCTTGATCTCTGCAAGAACGACCTGCTCGTGGAACCGGCTCCGCGCCGCGGCGATGGCGGCATCGGCGTCGCTTCTCGGCGCCGGAGCCGCGGCCTGCTTCACCTTCACACCACCCGCGCCGCCGTCGTAGCTGGCCCGCGGGGGCTGGAAGCGCGGCGGCCGCGGGCTCTCCCCCTTTACGGAGGATGAGGACGAGGAGGAGACGCTGCCGCGCTCCTCCTTGCTGCTGTCCTTGAGCGAGCTCCTGGTCCGCGACAGCGTCTTGAGCGGCCTCGGCGTCGCGGCGGTGGACGGCGGTGGCATCCTGTTCTCCTTCCGGGGAGTGGTGGGTGGCTCCGGGTGGGACGCTCGGCGGCTGGAGGGTAGCCTCGGGCTTGCCGCCGCCGGTGACGGCGATGCCGTGGCGCTCCTGAGACGTGGGAGCTTCATGGCAGGGATGCATTTTGGCGTGGCAGGGGAGGCTGGCTTCTCGATGCTCCGGGGCTTTTGCTGCACGAAATGAGAGAATTAGACAAGAAAATACAGTATGGCTTCTTAATCTGAAAAAGTGATACTCCCTCTCTCTCAGTTTACAGAGCGTGCGCATACATCTAGGTTGTCAATTTGACCAACCTAATACAAGTCATATATTACAAAAAATATACCAATATAAACTTTAGATGTTCTATTTTCAAATGATCTATTTTTTGTGTTATATAATTTATATTAGGTTGATAAAATTGACAACCTAGGTATACGCGTAGGACTTGTAAACTGAGACGGAGGTAGTAGAAAACTAGCACTACTACTAGAAGGTGTGTAAATTTTGTCTGAAATCAAATGAAGCAAGATTTATTAAAAAAATAAGAACAATTACAAACTAAATGGACATAATACGAAAATATAATTTATTATATACTGTATTTAGTAGTACTAATTTGGTATTGTGGTTATTTGTAATTTTTGCTGCAAACTTGGTCAAAGTTTGCATTGTTTGACTTCAGACAAATTTTATTGGCTTTATTTTCAAGTACGGGGGAAGTGCAAGTCCATGAGCATCAGAACTAATTGGTGAAAATAACCTCCAATGAATTTAAAGTTTAAACCTAGTAGAAAACCTCCACATGCAATATTTCGCTTATGTGTTTGCAACATTCTCCCTTTGTTAAAATTGGCTGCAACACTGAGCTCTAACTCGAGCTAGAGCTCCATCATATGGCCATGGCAGCTATTCACGCCAGGGATTTTGTTAGTAGCCATGGCCATGAGCTCTCCTGGAGGGGTCAGCTACGCCGCATCTTTTTCATGCCTCTCCTTGGTTTTTTAAATTTTGATTACATCAGAAAGCAAAGGCATGCACATCTACACGAGAACGGCATTTTCGAGCTCGGCCTTCATGTAGGCCGGGTTTTTTTAATTCAAAATTCATACTTTTTGGTTTCAAAAAATTCTGCAAAAAATTGTACAAGTATAGAAGCATGTGATGTGTATATGTGTAAATTTTCAGGATGAAATACCTTGAGATGCGATCTATGCAAAAAGAACAAATTCATGAACTTTTGGGATGAATAGTATCATGTTTTCAAAAGCCATAGATTTGTCTGTTTTGCACAGCTCTCATTTCAACATATTTCATCCTGAAAATTTACGCACATGTGTGTTATGCCTCCATGTATGCCTCTATTTTTTTCGAATCTTCTGAAATGTAAAAATATGATTTTTTTGGAATTTTGAACTTTTTAAAACCCGGCCTCCACGGAGGCCGAGCACCAAAAGCAATTTTCGCACCTACACATGCAATATTTATAGGCATCTCAAGTTTCCAATTACCGGAAATTAACTTTCCCAGAGAGGTACGATGCAACAAGCAAAGGCATGGACACCTACTCTACTGAACCACATAATTCAAAAGCTACCTGATGAAAATTGCCTAGAGCTATCAAATTCCAATGAAATTCTACAAAAGGCAGCCGGTTAAGCCTAATAACAGTCCAGTAACCATATCAAATAACACCTGGCATGTTTCAACAACATTTTTGGTGCCGATGCTTGTCAAATTACTATCACTTTCTTGCCAGATTGTTAGCCACTTAATTGTCAGATCGTTGAAAGTCGGTATACGCACTAAAAGACTTGCTTCATGTTACTTAGGGGTGGGCATAAAAACCGAATACCGAACCGATTTCGAAACAAAAACACCAAAATTTTGTTTTTTATGCAGGCACGGGAGAATTTGGTTTTTAACTGTGCTAACCGAGCTTATATCGGTTGCCGCAAAAAAAACGAGCTTATATCAGATGGTTCGGTTTTCCCACTTGTTAATCGAAAATGAACCGAGTTTACATCAAGTCAAAAGCGCGAAAGAACAGCCCGAACGAGCTTGTCCCGCGCCCAACCTTGCTATGATGAAATAGTTCCGCTCCAGGGCGGCTAGCGTGCGTGCAACTCCCGTGGGTCGACCTGACCACCTGCACGCAAGGCCCAAAGTGCATAGTGTTGGCCGTTGTAATGAGTTTGCATGTACATATGGGGTCTACTATGAGTAATGCTAGACCCATGTAAAGTTACTTGAAGATTTTACGTAACAGACAACATGAAAGATTGTGATTAGATGGAAGGGGTTGGGAGGGGCCCACCCATGAGAATCCGGGGGGCGAGAGAGTTTGTTAGGCAGGTTACGTAGCTCTTCCTATCAGCTTTCGTAGGTGTGGGATTATTCGTTTACTATTTAGTACCCCCTTGCCTCGTTACTTGGAATAACCAGAAACCTTGGCTATAGTAGGTGTAAGCTGAACAACGAACTGAATTAGCGGTTAACCGAACTTTTGGTTTCTTAATTTTTGTTGTTCACTGAAATTTAAAAATTACCCCGCTTTTACTTATTGTTAACAAACTTGAATACTCACTCCCTACTCCCTTGCTATGCATAACATCTTTCTCATGTTAATAATTCCGTTAAACTGTAAGTAATCCCCCATAACCCGCAAAAAAAAAGCAGTAATCCCCGTAGGTCTAGCATTACTCGACTACAAACAATCATCGTGGCAACTCTTCATTGTTAAGATGGCAACTGTGATGATATATACTCTTGCAACTTTGTGGCGACAAAAAATATCATCAAAACATGTCAAGATGGGGTCTTGTTTTGAATTCCTCGTCGAGATGAACCCACGGGTAAAGCCAGATTGGATCAAATGTTTGTGCGATAATTTTTATTTTTATTTTGAAAAAAAAACAATCAATGGGATGATCTTTGCAAATGATGTGTAAGATTCGTACATGTATGCTTGCGCGTTCTTTATATAGATAGCCAAAATCCCATTGGGATGCCTCTTGCCTCATATAGATTTCCTGAATCAAGAAATATATATCCCGGTTGTTGGTTAAGTGAGGCGTACACATTTTCAAAGATTTTACTTTTAATTTGGTCAGTGAGTAATTAGTTAGTTGTTACCCGCAAAAAAAAAGTGAGTAATTAGTTGAAGAATATATATCATCCACCCGTGATGCAAAACCCGTGCCCGTGCCCGTGCGTTGGTGACAAGCGTACAGCAACCTCGGACCAGAAAGACCAATGGATACCAAGACATGCGTGCCACGTCTCTCACCCGATGGACCGAAGGACTGCACCACTGACACGATAGCTCAACTAAGCCTATCTTAATTAAGGAATCACAAGAAAGGCACAAAAAGCGTGTCCCACGAACACAAGGATCGGCAGGACAAACACGTCACCAAACAAACAAGGAACGAACGTGAAACTTGCTGCGTCCGCCGGAATGTCGTCGACGCCGAGCAAAAGGATCCAAGAACACTGACTGCTTTTGTCCCAGAGATTGCATGATCAGCTTAGAATTCTTACCATTTCGGAGGCAAAAGCAATGGGTTTTTGAACGTTTCTTATTATTCGGTTTTTAATCCTTCGAACGGAAAAAGGCGATCGGTTTTTCAACTTTTTGTTTTTGGAACACGCACTGGGCGAAAGAGACAAGGAGATCAACACAGTGATAAACTAGGCGTTGGGTTACATGATTCGTTACCTCTCTGGCGGGGCTGGCGGCGGCGGCGAGCCCGTCGCCCGGGCGGTGGCGGCCGCCGTCGAGGCGCGCCCAGAGCGCCTTCACCTCGGCCTCCTTGCGCTCCATGCGCGCGAGCCAGCCCTGGCGCAGCTTCTCGTCCCGCCGCCGCACGTACGCCTCGTACCTCCTCCCCCTCCCCACCTCCTCCTCCTCGTCCTCCTCCTCCTCCTTCTCCCCCGCGCCGTGGCTGCCGTCGTCGGGACGGCGGCGGTCGGACACGGCCGCGGCTGCGGCTGCGGCGGCGTCCCTCCGCTCGGCGAGGCGGCGCTTGTAGCCTTCGAACTGCCGCTCCAGCTCGGCTGCCTGCGCCCACAGCGGGTCCGCGGCGTGCGCGCCGCGCGGGAGCGGCAGCATCGTGGTCGTCGCCATGGGCGCGTCGTTTGCGCTTGCTCGCTTCGATGCGAGGCGCGCGCGCCACTACTACGTATGGTGTGCGACGTGTGGAGGAGCTCTTGCCTCTGGCTGGGGTTTTGACCTGGACGGGGTCGTGTCGTGGCCGCACGGCCGGCCGGCGCGGCAAGGCAACGCAAGATATGTGGCGGCGGGCCGGCGGGCTTTCGCTGCTCGACATATGGCGCGTTTTCTTCCGCTCGGGCCTGCGGCTTCTGGGCGAAATATGGTCCGGGCGGGCTGGGATGTCAGTGGGCTAATGAGGGAAAGCCCATATTTGAGATGGCGGCAAAATGGCACAAGGCGCTGCTTCCTCATAAAAAAAATGCACAAGGCGCTGTGTGTGTGTGTGTGTGTGTGTGTGTTTTCGTCGAAAGGGGATTTATTCAAGCAATAATGGTTCGGTTACAATCTGCCCGAAGACTACTAAGCAAGAAGTCTGGGCTACTAACAATCCAGCTATCAGTACCCTCAAGCGTACAAGCACGCTGAGCACAAAGGTGAGCCGGAAAATTTTGCTCCCTACCAATATGACGAACCAAAAACGAAGAGAAACTAGATACGATATCCTCCACTTCCTTCAAGATAGGCGCTGCAATTGAACGAGAATTGTGGCGCGAATTCCATAGGTTGACAAGCTCCAGGCAGTTAACCTCCAATATCACATGTGAGTATCCACGTAGCTGTGCAAAGATGACCCCTTCACGAAGAGCTAAGAGCTCGGCAACAAAGGGATCCGACACACCTGGTAGAGGCTTACTCCATGTGCCAAGGAACTCAAGATGAGATCGGGCCACACCACTAGCTCCTCCTGCCATGGAGTCCGCAAGAATAGAACCGTCAGTGTTTATGGTGATCCAGCCCGCCTCTGGTGGTTTACAACCCTGTACTCCCTGTGACGCGAGGCCCTTCGGGATGTCGAGGATGGAAAGGGTTTCATGTACCCACTTGATGGCCTAAACCGGGTCAAAGCCATCCCGATCGTGAGTCCATTTGTTGCGCGAAGACCAAATGGAATGCATAATAGTTATGATCTTGCATCTTGCATCCATTGGGAACATTGGGTCTAGCAAGATATCGCGAGCCCAAGTTTGTGGGTGCAGTCTCGGGAGGTGAAGATCAAACCTCTGTTGAGCTGCCATCCAGAAATGTTTTGCATGCACGCATCCAATCAATGCATGCATCAGGTTTTCCTCCATGGCTTGGCAAACGCCACATATGCCAATGGGTTTAATGTGTGTGTACTTCAAGGTAAGGATGCCGCACAAAACCCTCCACCAGAAGACCCTCATTTTCGGTACCACATGCAGCTTCCACAAGGCAGCCCACATCTGTTTATTTGCCGATGAAGATTCTGTAATCGCCCCTTCGTCATGAGCACGAAGCTCGTTTCGAGTCACAAGAGAACGATACGCCGATTTAACAGTGTAGTTGCCCGATTTTTCTAGAGCCCAAGCAAGGCTATCTTCCCCACCATTTGCACTCAGAGGAATGTTGAGGATAGCTTCTGCGTTAGGGTGAAGAAAATTTTGCCAAACTAGCTTGATGTTCCACATGCCTGTATAATCATCTATCAAATCTGAAACATGAGGTAATGGAGCAGAACTTAGGCGTCCCATAGGTTTCAGAGTTGCAGTATTGGGGATCCAAGGATCGGTCCAAGTTGAAGTGCTTGTGTCGTCGCCTATCCTATGGATCAGTCCCTGCTCCAATGCTTCTCTGCCCGCCACAATGGCTTTCCACGTCGCCGATGCCCTCGCCGGGATAGTTGCATGGAGAAAATCCATATCAGGGTAGAACTTCCCCTTCAGCACACGAGCACAAAGGGAATTCGGGTGGGTCAGGAGGTGCCACCCATGCTTGCCAAGCATAGCCAGATTGAATAGTGGGAGGTCTTTGAACCCCATCCCACCCTTGATTTTTGGTGACGCTAGTTTGTCCCAAGACAGTCAGTGGAGAGCCCTTTTACCTATCAAGCTTGACCACCAATACTTTGCCATACAGGATGAAATACCCGTGCAAACCTTTTTTGTTAACTGAAAGCAGCTCATACTATAGGTTGGGATTGATCGGACCACTGATTTCAGCAAAACCTGTCGGCCGGCGCATGCCAGATTTCTTTCGGACCAGCCGCGGACCTTGCTGCGTATTCGTTCATTTATATGCATGAACGTTCCACTAGTAATTCTTCCAATTGCTGTCGGGAGCCCAAAATATCGTTCTGAGAAAGCTTCGATCGAGATCCCAAGAGCTAGCTTCAGGGATTCTCAAAGGGGTGCGCCCGTATTTGCGCTGAAGAAAATAGAACTCTTCTCCTTATTTACCGCCTGGCCGGAGCACTCAGCGTATATTCGAGGAATTTCATTTAGCCTGTCTGCACTTTGGGTCTTTGCACTGATAAAAATGAGACTGTCGTCGGCAAATAACAAGTGATTAACCCACGGTGCATGGATACTCACCCTGATCCCTCTGTCAATGTATGCTCCACCATAGTTATTCAGGAGGGAAGTTAGTCCTTGAGCACAGATGAGAAAGAGATATGGTGAAATAGGGCATCCCTGGCGCAACCCTCTCGAGGGGTTGAAAAAAGGAAGAAGATCACCGTTGACCTTGATCGTGAATCGTACCGAGGTAACGCACTTCATGATCAACCTGATAAAACGATCACCGAAGCCCAGTCTAGTCAACATCGCTTCGAGATAATGCCATTCCACCCTATCATATGCCTTGAGCATGTCAAGTTTAATTGCACAGCATGGGTTGTTTCCCCTTTTCCTCCTCTTGATAGCATGAATGGTCTCGTAAGCCACCAGCACATTATTCGTAATCAAGCGACCCGGGACAAATGCACTTTGTTCTTCTCCAATCACTTCGTCTAGAATAGTCCGGGCCCTATTGGCTACTGCTTCGACAGCAATCTTGTAGAGCACCGGGCATAGCGCAATGGGCCTGTACTGTGAAATTTTCTATGGGTGGCGAACTTTGGGAATCAGCATAATGGATGTATCGTTCAGCCCGAGAGGTAGCTCACCACCATTGAGGAAGCTCAGTACATCCATAGTTACATCCTCCCCAACAACATTCCAATGTCGTTGGTAGAAACCAGTTGTAAAGCCGTCGACGCCCGGGGCCTTGGATGACGCCATATCAAAGAGTGCCTTCCTAACATCTTGAGCCACATAGTCCTTCTCGATGAACTCATTCATGGCCTCAGAGACACGAGGTTGCACACATGGGAGAAGTTCTTCCATCGGAAAGTACCCTTGTGATTGGTATAATGCTTGATAAAAGTTCATTATTTCATGTTTTACTTCCCCTGGTTCGCTGCATGTCTGACCGTCCGCTTTCTCCAGGGAAGTTATTCTGTTTATGCGCTTGCGGTGGGCAGCCTGGGCCTGAAAGTATCCAGTGTTCCGGACGCCCTCCTTAAGCCATGTCACACGAGATCGCTGCTTAAGCCATATTTCCTCTTGACGAAGTGCTTCTCGCAGTTGTGATTCCACCGCTTTCTCTTCGTCCGTTGGTCCGCGGCCCAACGAGGTACGTCTTAGGCGATCAAGACGTTGATGAAGCTTGCGTACTTTTTTCGCTAAGTTTCCAAACTCACGCTGGCCCCAAGTGCCCAAGTCGTTTTGGACCACCGAGAGAGCATCAACTAGCCCTTGAAGTCCACCTTGCCCAGCTCCTGTCTGCCATAATCTCCTGATCAAGTCATCATAATCAGGGTGAGATTGCCAAACATTTTCATAACAAAAGGAACGATGTGCACGTGACCATCCCAGCTCCATTGTAGCCTTAAGTTCCGCAAGCAAGAAGCAATGATCAGACTCGATACTGCTGATATGCTTGACACATGAGAATTCGAACAAATCTAGAAACCTTTGGTTGACGAGTGATCGATCCAATCTGGCCTTGATGTTCTGATCCCCTTGTTGTTTGTTGTCCCATGTGAAAGGGACTCCATGCCACCCCAGCTCCTGGAGTGCACAATCAGCTGCCATGTCCCGGAATGCACGCATTTTCCCCTCCGGTCTTGGGTTAATTCCGAACTGCTCGTCCGCCTGAAGAATTTTATTGAAATCTCCCATGCATATCCATGCTTCATGAGGGACAACATACAAAGTGTGCATGAAGCACCAGCTATGGTGTCTATTTTCCACCCGTGACTTGCCATAGAAGCCCGTGAAATGCCAGGTTTTATTTGCTTGACTCACGGTTACATCAATGTGGGAACCACTGTAATTTTGCAAAGTTACATTGACATCGCTTGACCAAAATAGGCTAATACCTCCACTAAGCCCGTCACTGTCAACGGCAAAACAACCTGAGAAACCTAAAGAATGCTTCAGTTCGTCAACTCTCTTGCCCCTAATCTTCGTCTCCATGACAAACAGTAGGGTGGGCCCTTCTTGCTTCACAAGCTTGCGAAGCTCTCGAACTGTCCAGGGGTTCTCAAGCCCCCGGCAGTTCCAAGACAAAGTGCTCATTGACTCGGGCAGGGTTGACTAGCAGCCGCTGCCGAATTTTCAGATGATGGGGGGTGGGCTTCTTTTTCTTTTGATCCCGCTCGGGAAAGGCCTCCTTGAGGTATCCCATGTCTGTCTCGGTAGGCGTCACCTCCCCGGCGTCCTGGTCCATGTGTGCCTCTCCATGTTCAGTGATGGCGAGCTGTGCAGGTAGCACCTTGCAATAGATTTGAGTGGTCTGAGGCCCTCATTTGCGCTTGTTCTGATGGTGATTCTTGACAGGTGAGTTAACCTCCGTACCTCTCTGCTGCTTGGTGTTGGACGAGCGTGACTCACGCGTGCTAGGATGTGAATCGGGTCTCCCCTTTGTCGTTCGCGCTCCAGAATTTGCCTTCTTTTTGTACTCTGGCGCCCTGAGGCTAGACTTGAAGGGTAGATCCCCCTTCTCGTCGCGCGTCCCCGGCATAGGGCAGAATAAGTCCGAGTGTCCCAAGCGGCCGCAAGAGAAGCAGA